CCTATGGAGAAGCTGATTAGCACTTAGCAGTGGCTAATACTTCTACCAGGAAGGACAGACATGGGGTTGAATGGATGCCACCGGGGGAGGAGTTTATCAAGCTGAACTTTGATGGAAGTAGCCGAGGAAATCCAGGACCTTCAGGCATAGGAGTGCTGAGAAATAAAGATAGTTGCATTATATCTTCGTACTAAGGTCCTGCAGCTGTGGGAGACTCTTTAAGGGCCGAATTAGTTGCTGCTGTACAAGGAATCCAGCTTGCAAATCAGCTAGGCATAGAGCATCTGATTATTGAAGGGGATTCCCAGGTGATAGTGGGTTGGCTGAAGGATCGGGACATTGTGATTTGGGGTTTTAGAGATCTCAAAAAGGTTAAATGGTTAACAAGGAATATGACAATCAGAGTTCAGTGGGTAGGCAGATCAGAAAACTATGGCTGATTCACTTGCGAAACAAGGGGTTCTCCGGGATACTTTATTTTGGGCTTCTGTGTAGTTTCTTTTATACTTATAATTCTGTAACTAGCTTTAAAGGAAAGGTCATATCTCGTGCCTTTCCATGGGTTGCATGTAACTCTTATTTGCTGGTTTAATAAAACCTTACTCATTTATCAAAATAAATTAGAAAGCAAGAAAATCTAGAAATTGGATCATCTATTTCTAAAAGTATATTTTTCCTTCTTCACAATGGTTTAACATTACCATGCTGGCATGCTACAGAAAACATTGTTTATACTCAAAATTTATGGCTACCACCATTCAACCTAAAGTGGATTACAAAAGAAAGCAAACACAAAATTATCAAAAATGCATTACCTCAGCTTCCCAACATAAGCATTACTTCCTTGGGACAGGTCATCAGCATCAAGAGAGATTATATATTCAGTGTGAGCACCACATCTATACCTTCGTGCTGCTAAGAGAAATTTTCCTTTATCCATGAATGCTGCCAACAACAAACAATCCAGGTGAATGAAAACTTCAAGTATTCGAATCAGGCTAATCAAGAGTAAGTAACTACAAAGTAACATTTGTAATAAGCTCTGGAAAATATAACTATAACTGATAGTATCATTCAGGTGAAGAATAATATAGAAATCTGAAAAAAAAAAAAAATAGTAACTCAACAGTCAATTGCATCATAGATTCCAAAGATAGGTTGTTGACTCCACCCAAAGGGGTGCCCTGAATTATATTATGATAGCTCATGTTGAACTCAAATCTTGAAAAACAACAGAGTACTCTTTGATCTCAGTTATACTATATCCACTTATTTCCCTTGCCTGAGGAACAACTCTTTCCATATTACATAAGAAAGCTCCCCAATATAGTGAAACTTTTTTAATTTGGGTCAAGGGCATAGTTTTCAAGGTACCGAGGTGAGACTAGGTGACGGGGATACCTTGTCACCCAGGTGACACCTTGGCGATGGATTTGTTTAGATAAAAAGCATAGGTTAATTCCCGAGGTTCCATAGCAACCAGTAGACATCTTTCACTAGTAATTATCTATAACTTTGTAAAAACGTATAAACTTCATACTAAAACATTAAAAAATCAACATATTCATGAGAATAAAAAGAAGAAAGAAAGGAAAAATGTAGAAAACATAAGGGCTGACTCCTGATTTTGTCCTAGGAAAAGGATGTGTTGATCGGACCAAATTTTAAGTTCTGCCTTGCTTATCAATCCATGTTTTGAAGTCTCTGAGGGTTCAAGACAGTATACACCACCATGTGTGTTGATTGAACCCTAATAAATAAGAAAATTATAAAAATAAACTAGTATATCAACTCACAAAAGGAATAATTTAGTTCAATAATTGGGAGTGCAGACTCTACAACAGCTTAAGTCCTAGCAGTGCTAAATGGCCTCCATATCTATAAAGACTACTGGAACAGACCAACAGAAAGCAGTTAATCAGTTTTACAAGAGGAAGCCACGTCAGCACAACTAATCGTCCACTTGCAACAGCTGTAACAGAAAGAAATCAAAGATTGTAAACAGTATAAGTAGTGAAGCACAAAGAGAAATAAGACAGGAATTATTTCGGCATTAATCTCCCTCTCTCTCTCTCTCTCTTTCTCTCTCCTTCCAACGAATTCAGGAGATTGGCTCCCTCGAAGAGCCCTAGTTAGGCAGGTTCCTAACAAGTTGGTATCAAAGCCAGCATGACCAACACAAGAAACACGTCAGTAGACACCCGAGTGGATCAGATGGAGGTAGAGATCCATCGAATGTCTTCAGATCTCAAAGAAATGAAGGAGGGTTTCACTGCTCTCCTCAATCGGCTAGAGCAGGTGGCAACGAACAACAACAGAGGAAGCCAAGAAGAGCGCAGCAATGAAAACAACCGCAGAACAAGGCCGACAGCAACGAGAGCAGCCAAAATCGATTTCCCCATCTTCTCAGGCGGCGACCCAACTCCCTGGATTCTCAGAGCCGAACGGTACTTCGATTACCATGAGACACTTGGGCAAGACAGGGTAGCTCTGGCTTTTGCGCATCTTGAAGGGGAAGCTATCCTCTAGTTTCAATGGTACCGACAGGGGCACCCTCGTCAAACTTGGGCAGACTTCACTGATGCCATGACTGTCCGTTTTGGATCGTCTGGATTCGAAGATCATGATGAGAGTTTGGCAAAGCTACGGCAGGTGGGATCAGTTAAAGATTACCAGATGGAATTCGAAAAGCTGGCCGTGAGAGTCCAAGGGTGGACGAAGAAGGCACTGGTGGGAAGCTTCGTCGGCGGCCTGAAAGAAGAACTGCGACTGGAAGTGAAGGCGATGCAGCCCACTTCAGTCATAAATGCGGCAGCACTAGCAAGATTGTATGAGGATAAGTTCGCTCGAGCAAGAAAGGTGCAACGACCACGGGGTCTAGGAACCAGGACAACAGCACCAGACAAGGAGGAAGGAATACTGGGCCCAGGTCCATTGATTCCTTTCAAACGGCTGACCTAGGCAGAGATGCAAGCCCGCAGAGACAAAGGACTCTGTTACAACTGCGAAGAGAAATTCGGGTCGGACCATCGGTGCAAGAAACAACAAGCATTTCTCCTCCAAATAGATGCCGAAGAGGAAGACGACCTCACCGATTACGAGGAATCTAACCCAGGGTGGGAAATACAACCCAATGGCACACCTGAAATATCTCTACAAGCCCTTATGGGACTTGCGTCCCCTCAAACAATTTGAGTCGCAGGGCTAATCCAGGGACGCCAAGTGTCAATCGTCATAGACAGTGGCAGTTCCCTTAACTTCATAACTCAAGTCTTGGTGGATAAAATGGGACTCCCGGTTCAACCAACAACGGCTTTTACGGTTCATGTGGCCAACGGTAATAGCCAATCCTACAATAGCATTTGCATGGGCTTACCACTAAAAGTTCAGGGTCACCAGTTTGCAGTGGACCTATATCCTCTTCATCTCAGTGGAGCGGACGTGGTGCTAGGCATTCAATGGTTAAGACAACTAGGGCCCATGATCTATGACTGGGCCCGTCTCACCATGGACTTCACATCAGGGCTCTACAGTCCATCTACAAGGGCAAACATGCAAGGGTCCAAGGCCCATCAGTCTTGCAACATTAACAAAGCAAATGGGGGATCTGGATCAGCCCATATTCATGCACATGGACTCAAATTGGACCAGCCCATCTTTAGCTAACAGCAGCCCAAATGGGCCTAGAGACTTCCAAAGCCGCCTACAACAACTCCTTTAGCAATATGGCAGCGTGTTCGAAGAACCCCAAGAACTTCCACCACGCTGGGAGCATGACCACCGCATCCCCCTCATGCCAGGAGCTGCCCCAACCAATGTAAGACCTTACTGATACACTTATTTTCAAAAATTTGAAATCGAGAAGCAAGTTCAAGATATGCTTAAGCAAGGGATAATACAGCCCAATCACAGCCCATTCTCTTCATCGGTATTATTAGTCAAAAAGAATGATGGGACGTGGCGATTTTGTATTGATTACAGAGCCCTTAACAATATCACCATTAAAGATCGATTTCCAATACCGGTCATTGATGAGCTGCTTGATGAACTCAATCAGGCCACCATATTCTCAAAATTAGATTTACGAGCTGGGTATCATCAAATAAGGGTACATATAGGGAGGATGTTCACAAAACGGCTTTCAGGACACATGATGGCCACTTGAGCTGGCCATTTGAGCTGACCAATGCTCCAGCTACATTTCAAGCATTAATGAACGACATATTCCGGCCATATTTACGTAAGTTCATCCTTGTTTTCTTTGATGACATATTGGTCTATAGCCCCAATTGGGAGGAACATCTGAATCATCTACAGGTCACCCTCGCAACACTTGAGGCCCACCAGTTGTTCGCTAAAGAGTCCAAAGTGCTCCTTTGGACAAAACCAAGTTCACTACTTGGGACATGTTGTAGAGAACGGAACTGTAGCGGCCGACCTAGATAAATAATTCGGACCGATCAAAGCTTGAAGTTCTTATTCATCAATTAGTCCTATCCCCGGAACAACAACAATGGATATCCAAGCTACTAGGGTACAACTACATAATTGAGTACAAAGCAGGGGCTACTAACCAGGTGGCTGATGCCCTCTCACGGCACCCACAATCATTTCAGTTACTAGTATCTTCCCCAACTTCTCCACTCCTAGATCTACTTCGAAAAGAAGCCCAATCCCATAGGGAGTTACAGTAGTTGAAGGCCCAAGTATTGGCAAATCCCTCACTGCACCCCAAGTACACCATTAAGAATGATCTACTCTTCTTCAAAGGACACTTGGAAATTCTGGCAGATTCTGCTCACCTCAGGAAGCTCCTGGAATTATTCCATGCCTCACCCACAAGTAGCCACTTCGGCATCCTACGAACACAAAAACGCATTGCCACACAATTCCATTGGAAAGGCATGCGTACATCTATCCAGAACTTCATAGCCGGGTGTGTAGTATGCCAATCTTGCAACCACTCCCAATACCAACCCAAGTCTGGGATGATATATCAATGGATTTCATCACAGGATTGCCCGTTTCTACCGGCAAAACAGTTATCCTTGTGGTAGTGGATAGATTGACGAAATACAGCCATTTCCTACCTCTATCACACCCATTTACAGCAGTCATAGTTGTTGAATTGTTCCTCCAAGAAATTGTGTGCCTACACGGGCTCCCCAGCTCAATTGTATCAGACAGGGACCCTATTTTTATGAGTCATTTCTGGGCTGAGCTTTTTCGCCTGCACGGGGTTAAACTCTTCAAGTCAACTAGCTATCACCCCCAATCTGATGGACAGATAGAGGCGGTTAACAAGAGTCTCGAAACATATCTGAGATGCTTCGCGGGAGATCGACCAAGACAATGGATGAAATGGATCCACTGGGCTCTATATGGTCGGGACCCTCCCCCTCTACTTCCTTATGAAAAAGGGACCACCACAGTAGCGGCCTTAGAAGAACAGCTGACACAACAAGATGAGGTGTTAAAGGAACTGAGGCATCATCTCTTACAGGCACAGCAATGGATGAAGCACACCTATGATAAACATCACAAGAATGTCCAATATGAAGTCGGTGATTGGATGTTTCTCAAATTACAACCTTTCAGACAGATTTCAATTGCAAGCCGACAGTGGAACAAACTCAGCCCACGCTATTTTGGACCATTTAAAATCCTTGAGAGAATAGGGTCAGTGGCCTACAAGCTGAACCTTCCGGCAACATCAAAATTGCACCCTGTATTCCATATCTCCTTACTGAAGAAAGGGCCGAAGCCAAGAGTCATTACAAGTGCGACCCTTCCCACATTTTCAGTTGAAGGACAAGTGCAGACTGAGCCAGCCCGCATCATTGATTTCAGATAGGTGCGTCGGGGTGGAAGAGTCATACCAGAAGCATTAGTTGTTTGGTCTAAACTCCCAGAAGAGGATGCAACCTGGGAATCCTACTTAAATCTGCAATCAAATTTTTCCACATTAGACCTTGAGGGCAAGGTCGCACTAAAGGAGGGGGGGATTGTAAAGACTACTGGAACAGACCAACAAAAAGCAGTTAATCAGTTTTACAAGAGGAGGCCACGTCAGCACAACTAATCGTCCACTTGCAACAGCTGTAACAGAAAGAAATCAAAGATTGTAAACAGTATAAGTAGTGAAGCACAAAGAGAAATAAGACAGGAATTCTTTCGACATTAATCTCCCTCTCTCTCTCTCTCTCTCTCTCTCTCTCTCTCTCTCTCCAACGAATTCAGGAGGTTGGCTCCCTCGAAGAGCCCTGAGTTAGGCAGGTTCCTAACAATATCACAAGAAGACTAGCAACACAATAAAGTGGCTTGGGGAGAAGGAAAGCAGACCTTGAAAACTGGCTCACTACCTAGACAAGGCTAGAGATATGTTATACTCCTTGAATGCAACTTTAATCTGGATTCCCAGGACTCTAAACTCCATAGCAGATAGTTTAGCCGAGTCGGGTGCTCACAGGGAAAACCTGTATAGTGATAGTATAATGCCTTTGTACCCTGTGTGGGGCTAGCCTTTTGTACATCATCTCATGTACTCGTTCTTTCTCTTTAAAAAAGTTATTTTTTCTCTCAAAAAAAATATATTTTATTATAATCTCTAAAAATAAAGAATATACAAAAATTTTAAAGCAATGTATAAAAATCTAGGTGTTTAAGGAAGGCAACCCTCCATGGGTGCCTTGTGGCCTTGACAACTATGGTTGGGGGTCAGGTGGGGCGGGGAGTTTCTAAGATTTCTCTCTTCTCTTAATCCAGCACAACATATTTTGAAGGTCTAAATGGCTGAAAGGAAGAAAAGATTTCATCTCCTTCTGCATCAACCTTACTCCCAATTCCCTATTTCATCAGATTACAAGGAAAACACTCCCCTTCTAAAGTAACTATAGAAACATTGATATTTCCACAACTTGTAAAAGCATGTCAACTACAAATAAGAATTGATTTTATCTTTCTCCTTGAAAGAAATGTATGGTGCAAGTTCCTCCCAAACCCCTCCCTCAAAAAATTCAAATTTCTTTTATGTAAAGAAAATTCATTCAAGGTGTAGGAAACCCCTAGGTAATGCTATTCTATTTACAAATTTTAGAAGAATTAGCACTAAGAACCTTTTGGAGTTGTATCCAGTAAAGCTAATATATAGTGTTGGTAAGCTTTTCAAAGATCCATTTATAATAGATAGATAGATAGATAATTACTGAAATCATTATGAATCCAAGGCATTACATCTATTGACAATAAAATGATCTGCATTTACCATATGAAGGATCATGAAATATTATTCAAAGCCAGATTTTCAGGGAAATGCTTTCAGTTTAGAGTGGACTGTGGACCTGTGATATCCATGAAAATTCAGAAAAGGAAGAGAAAAACCAACAAGCTTATTGCAGAATAATATATTGGACATGAGAAGTTTAGTTCTGAAATCTGTCATTTTGGCCTTTCACTGTCCCCAAGATCAGGATGTCTAAAGAAGAATTACACTCCTAATATCTAAGATTCAATGCATTACCTCTTTAGCGACATGTCAGTTTAAGGAACAAACTTCAGGACATTAGTAACAGGTGGGCTGAACTGAATGAGTTAATGATTTGTCTTTTAGTGGATAAAATAGTCATATAATAAAAGCATAGTAATCAACCCAACATCCCATTCGTCCATTAAGGAGCTCACAACCTACTTAATGACTTGGTACTAAAATACAAAGAAACAAGTCATTCAGTTCAGCCACTTTAAGACATTATCAAAAAGCCCCTTGGCAAAGAAATGAAGAGTGAAGAGTGAAGACAACATCATGGTGTTTCTTTAGAAAGTGTCAGTGTCATAACATCTAACCAGGTGTAATACTTGGTTGGGCTTGACGCCAAGGGCTTGGATTATACTTCCACCTGACAGAACCAAAAAAACTCAACTGTCTCAGAAGGCTTCAAAAGCAACAATGTTCATGGGACCACACATAATCCCTAAGCCTTATTCTAGCACCTTTCTGCTCCTTAAATCATAATCCTATAAAATCATATCCTACCAATGTTAACCTACCATCCAGCATACTTATCCATTCTCAAACCTTTGTTCTTAACTCCCATCTAAAGTTTACCACTAGCTTAACATGGATCTTCTTTAAATTCCACATCTTTCTGCTATCCACATCCTAATTCATTGCCCTACAAGTACACCCTATTAGGCCCTAGAATTCATGAGAATGATAATGTTGAAAAGTTTATGAAAGATAATAGATCCATAAAGTAAAAGCAAATCTACAAGATTTTTTTTTCTTTTCTTTTTTTTTTGTTGAGAAAAGTTTACAAGATTTAGACAAGCCTTATTGATGATAAGAACAAGATGACCTTTCAAACTTGACTATACATGATTTTAAAGTTTACCATGAGCTTAAGAAGGATCTTCTTTAATCCCATATCTTTCAGCTATCCACATTCTAATTCATTGCCCTGATACAACCTGTTAGACCCTAGGATTCATGAGAGAGAGAGAGAGAGATCTTGCTTGTAAACCACTCTCTCAATGAAATCATAGAGAGTCCATATGGTTCTGGGATGTTTTAGTTATCCCTCAACTGCCGAATGGGCAAGGAAAAGCCAATTTGAAGGATGTATAAAGTCATATTTGTCATTTTGCAATTTCTTCTCCCTAAATTAAATGTCAAAGCATATTCAGATTCAACTATTAAGTCTACTATAACTGCAAACAGAGCCATCCACAAAGAAGAAAATCCTGATGAAAAATCGTATAATGGTAAGTAGTGCACTGGCGTTTACTTACTCTGGGTCAGACCAAGATAAAGATAAAATGTGCAGTTCTTCTTGTTCCGCTTGATAAAACACTGAAGGGGAGCATCTCGCGGCCCTGGCTGCATTTAACAAAACAACAGTACATCAATCCCACGATTAGCAGCTTCTCTATTCACAAAATTAATAAAAAAAAAAGGATAATAGCTCTAAACATTTATGAAAGCTGTTAATCAACACCCAAGAAGTAAGTCTGTATTTCACCATACTCGTAAACAGAATACAAACATGCAGGATCAAGAAACAGACCATGTAAACAAGAAAAACACATCCGAGCTTTCCAAATTTTGTGCCTTTGCTCATATTTCCAAGTAAGAAATTTTCAAAGTTGAAATTTTGAAATTGATTATCATTTCGAACCCTAATAGACTCATTGGAACGTGTATAGAATGCAGGACCCAAATCTTTAACAGAAACAACTGACATAAAAGACGAGTTGAACCATCAAAAGGACCAAAAACAAAATCAAACCAAAGAGAAAGAAAAGAACATAAACAAATTGAATGATATTACAAACACATATACCCAAGGACATTGATCGAAACGCCCAAACTCCATCAGACCCAATTGAATAAAAAATCAAGAAAAGAACAAAGCAAACCTGTTTGAGGGAAGAAGGGAAAGTTATCTTTCCGCACTGCAGAGGAGACCTAACGGTGCCTTTGGTAACTTCTCTCCATCTCTTACAGACGGAAGCACAAGCGACAACGTTCTTGCGACTCGGCCAACGGTCTTCGCTTGACTCCACTCGCTGGATGATCTCGACGAGAAGCTCAGGCAGCAAATCGGACCAGCCATCCTCATCAGAGACTCGCTTGATCTCTTCGTCTGCTTCGCCATGGCCATCCGCCTGCTGTTTATCGGCTTCGGTTTCTTCTTGCTTCAGAGTTCCGGGTTCTTGAATGAGATTCGAGAGATTGAAGCACCTTTTGGTTCTGCTCCTTCCGAATAGAAGTGCTTTTCTTAGAGACATCCCACCTTTGCTCCTCTTTTCTTCTTCTTCTTCTTCTTCTTCTTCTTCTTCTTCTTCTTCTGCTCACAGAAGGGAGAGAGAGAGAGAGAGAGAGAGAGAGAGAGAAAGAAGGAGAGAGAGGGGGAGGGAGAGGGAGAGAGAGATTTGCTGTTGAGTTAAGAAGCGGAGGAAGAAAGAATGGGAAATGGATCCATGACGAATTGAAGACGAGGACGCCGAGAAAAATCACCCCAAAATATTAGAAAAACAATTCTTTTATTAAAATTAAAATTTTTATTATTTATTTTAGGGGTTCAAGGCAGATTGTTTATCGGATTTACGTTTTTGTCCCTTTGACCAGGTCTCAACAACTTAAAAAGGTGTTAACTATTCAGTTAATGGCACCCGGATCCAGAACACCATCCCTATTAGGCCCTTACTTGACCAAAATACCCTTCTCTTTTTTCTGAACAAACATTTATTTGATTTTATTTATTTCTTTCCTTTTGGCAATTCCATAACCGGGAATTCGGGTTTATCAGTAACTTTAAACATGATCCGATCCACCGGTCCGATTTTGACGAGTTAATTCCTATTTATTGCTCCGTACGGGTATAGTTTATGGTTGGTTGGGCTTGAGCGATTTATTTAAGTTGACCCATCTGAACTTGGACCAAGTTAGCACGACTTTTTCTGGGTCAATCCATTAATGATACATTAGGTCCAATCCAATTGGGCTGCTTGATCCAATCTGACTTTCATTATGGGTCAGTGTCAGGGTCTACGTGACAGTAGAAAGATGGTTACTTCTAGGTGTTTAGAGATTCCCATTTGTTTCTCAAGTTTAGAAATTAGAACAGAAATGAAATGGAAATAACATGTGATTAGAAATCATAAATTTGCCAACAATGATAAAGGTAAGGAATTATATCCATGGTTGTGTCAATCTTTATTTGGCTGTATGTCATGGAAATCATTGTGATTGACCTATCACTTTCTTTTGGGCATTTTTTTTCTAGTGAGATGTGTGACATGGGATGATTAATCAACATTGCTCAAGGTTCATATACGGTCACAAAATGTAAAGAGGACTGGAAAGGTAATTTTAAGATATGTTTTGGATATATATGGATACAATACAAAAATTAACATATATATGGATATGTTAGGAAAATCTAAATAAATGCCAAATAAATTTACATAAATAACACTAAAACTAGGTCTTAGATGACTATAAATAAAATATATAAATATAAAAATAAAATGGAAAATTCTCAATCAATATTCTGTACTTTGGTTCGAGTGACAATTTGGTCCCTAAATTTTAAAATGTGACAATTTAGTATTTGAACTTTCGAAACGCGACAATCTAATACCTATCGTTAACCAGTTGTTAAGTGGCATGTGAAAAAAAAAACAAATGCCTATCCATGAGTGGAACCCCTTGTTATTTCATAAAATCTCAATCCTAAATATTTTAATAACTCAAACCAACAAGATATTTTACTCTGCACCGAGGTTGGGGACTTTGGGGCTGGGGACCTCTATTCTATTCTCTATTATCAGGGAGACCGTCGTCATTAAAGCCGATTTTAGAGTAGAGCTATGGAATTAGCGAGTAGAGAGAAGCAAGGGAGAAGAGTCCTGGACCCAAACTTCTAAGATCGTAAATTTCCTTTGGGGTTTTTTGTCTTTTGGTTGTATTTCAAGATGAAGAGAGAAGTCGTCACCAACGAAGATCTGACGGTTGATGATGAGAAAAGGGGGAAGAAGAAAATGAGCGAAGAAGAAGAGGAGAGTAGTCAAGAGACTGGATTTGTGCTCTTCGAGGTGCTGAAGCACTTGTACACGTGGTTGCTTGCGATCACGTCTTGCGTTAACAAACAGTGTGAAAAGATAGCCTGTGATGAGAGGTTGTAGGAGTTGGCACCCAGCATTGGACGAACATTGGCTACAATAATCAATAGCTCTGTTCCGTGGTTCTTGCTCTCGGAGGTTTTTGTCGCCTCCGTTCTCAATACCTTTGGCCCCTCTTAAAACCACCTCCATCACTGTCGTTGTCTCCGTGGGCCGTGTCATCATCATCTTCTACTCCCTCTCTCTCGTCTCTGTTACTGGCTCCGAAAACGGCAGTTCATGGGGAAAATACAAGGTTCAACTCACCACATCTCTCCTCTTGATTTGCTATTTCGAGAAATGAATGTTAACAACAGAGGCAGATGATTTCTGCTCTACTCATCACCTTAATTTTCCTTTTTTCTTTTCTATTCACTCTTGTGTTCTTGGATTTCATATGGATCTCTTATATATAGATCTCTGTAATGCGAGAGTCTGTAATAGTAATACTCATATTACTATTGATAAATTTTCTTGGGTTTTTTCTTTTTAGTATTACTTTCAAAGATCTAAGAAATGATGGTGTTTGTGAAATGAAAATTAATTTTTGGGGTGTTTATGTGTAGATGTAACATAAGAATTTGTAGGTTGTTGGTTTGTGACAGAGAGCCTGGGCTTTGTTTCATCGCACATAAGGTGTAGATGAACATAAGAATTCAAAAGTTTTAAATCGCACATGAGGTCACGTGATATGCATAACTGATAGTCATTAACGGCAGATACTACATTTGTCGGATTTCGAAAGTTCAAGTACTAGATTGTCGCATTTTAAAGTTCGGGGACCAAATTGCCAGTCGAGCCAAAGTATAGGGTATTGATCAGGGATTCTCCCAAAATCTTACCCATTTATAAAAAAGAAGAAATGGATGAATCATCCAACACCATGATTTTATATTTCCAATCCTACCCCTCCATGATTTTATATTTCTAATCCTATCCCTTCTTAAAATGCTTGAAAATAAAATTAATATTTATTAATAAATAAATAATTTATTTATTAATAATATTAATATTAATATTTCTGAAAATAAATACAAATAATTAATTTATTAATAAATTACTATTAATATTTATCAATAAATCATTATCAATAATTTATAAAAATTTTAGTAATTGATTGTTGGTAAAAGATATTGAAATAACTACATTTCTAAAAATTATAATTATGATTTCAGAAAATTAATAATTGATTATTCAGAAAATTAGCATAATTCTCGTTATTACATTTTTAGAAAATTATTGATTAATTTTAATTGAAAATAACAAATAAGTTAGTGTAATTTCGGAATTTTATGAGATTTTTTAATTTTTGGAATATTGTGGAAAATTATTGTAATTATTGAAATTTATAATTATGTTATCATAATTTATAATTATTATTATTATTATTATTATTATTATTATTATTATTATTATTCTCAATGTAATTATAATTATTACACTAAAATAATTGTTAGTGTAGTTTAACTAATTCCTTTTTTATAATCTCAAATAGTAATTCCCATTATATAATAATTTTTGAAAAATTAATAATAGAAAAAACTGTGAATCTTGATTTAAAATAATGGAAATTAATAGTAACAATTATTGTTACATAATTAATAATTTTCCATTTTGTATCAATTCCAATAATGTAATTATTAAATTACACAAATTTCCATTATTTAAAAATAATAATTACTACAGAATTATAAATTACAATAAAATCTGTTATTTGAAATTACTGTAATTACAGTAATTTTGAAATACAGAAATTCCAATAATAATTATTAGTGTAATAATTACAGTTTGTTTCAAAATAGTTTTATTACACTAATAAATCTTATTGGAATTTAATTGTAATAATTCAATTACAATAATTATTGTAATGAAAATTTTATTTCTAATTACAGATTTGTTGTTCATATTAACTTTATCGCAGAAATAATTATCTTTGAAATTTTAGTGTAAATTAATATTTTTCGGAAATTTATAACAATAATTATTATTGGAATTTTGTTGCTGATAATAATTACAGTAATAATTATCATTGGAATTTACGTTTTCAGAAATTTATTAATGTAATTTTATTATTAGTGTAATAATAATTATTAAGCTACATTAATTATTATATAAAATTTGTTATTTTCAAAATACTGTAATTACAGTTATTTTGAAATAACTGTAAATCCAATAATAATTATTAGGGTAGTTAAATTAATTATTTTTTCAAAATAATTATTACACTAATAATTATTATTGGAATTTTGGTGTAGTAATTAAATAGAGTAATCATTAAAATAAATGTTTTACTATAGTTACTATTTCTTAAAATTAATTTTATTACACTAACAATTAAATTGTGTTATTTTCCAGAAAAATTACTAGAAATCAATGGATATACAAAATTTTCAATGAAATTATAAATGTCATTTAAAATTAATTAAAATTTATAAAATTGAAAAATAAATTCAACAATTATAGCTCCAGGAAAGAGTTGGTGGACTTTGCAAATTGGCAAACAAAATATCATAATTTTGGAAAATTTTGGAGAAGAAAAAATATATATATTAATGTAATTTTGGAAAATTTCTTTAAAATGTAGTAAATAATTATTGAAAATTATTGGAATATTTTGGAAATTTGGGAAATTTTACTACATTTGATAGCTTTTGGAAAAGTATTTAAAAATTGTCTTATTTTCATTTTAAATTATTAAAGATAAATTAGTATTGGTAAAGGAAAACATTAATTTGAACCAATATCACAAATTATTTCCGTTATTAATATAAATTAGTATAATATTAGAAAATTTTAGAAAAGGAAATTATTAATTAACTTATATTGAAAAATAAAAGATAAATTAGTGTAATTTTGTAAATGATATATTTAAAAAAAGAAAATAAATTATTTAATATATTTAAAAAATCAATAATTTAGTATATATACTTCTGGAAATTTACCAGGAGCCGACATTCAATATATCCTTTTGATTCTTTTTACCAGCAAATTAGACATTGGGTTTTCCTGTGCATCCCATGGGTTCCCTACTAGTAAAAAGAAAACACATACTTTAATACCTAACTAGTGAATGACCCTATACTAAGTAAAGGAAAAGTTAACCATTTTTATATATGAATAAGCATTAATGATTTTTATTACCATTTTTTTTACTATTTATAAACTGCCATTTCTTAACTCATAAAGTCTATAGGTCCACATAAATTGACCCGAATATGTCAAACCCTTAAAATTATATGGGTCATTAAATTCAACTTGAAACGTTTATTACTTTAATTTAACCATTCTTATTATTATTATTATTAATTTATTTTAGTATTTAATTTAATTTT